GGCTCTCATGGCCGTCAAGGACGAGCAGGCGACGCGCACCAACAACGCGAGTCTTTGTGTGAGCGTTGAAGTGCTTCAGCCACTCTACTCCTAGCTTGTTGTTTGTCCAGCCATTGTCGCTAACTGCGATTACCCAGTCGCGTGGGATCTCTGCTTCCTCGTACCAGGCAGATAGATGATACTGGCCAGCGAAGATGAGGAACGGCGGGACTGACCAGCCAGCAGCGTTGATTGCAGCAATCGCCGTCACCCACTCGCGATTACCTGGCTGAATAGCCTTAGGCCTGCCTCTTCTTTCTAACCCTGTTACAACAAGTTGAGTTGTAATTTTGCCCATCATAAAGCCAGCCTCGTCAAAGTTGTACACGTCATCATCGCAGATGCCGTACTTGGCCTTTGTCTCCTCTACAAGCTCAAACCAGCTCCTGATTAGAGCTGGATCCTCGCATAGAGCTCTCTGCCTATCGTATGCTCGATTGAAACGCGTCCTAAGACTGTCCGTACGCTTGACAAAGTTGCTTGGCCAGTCTCTGCCTACAGGAGAGCTACCACGCGCTAAGAGTAGCTTATCAGCCATATCACGTACAGCTGCGTACGTAGGCGAAAACCCACGTGTATCTAGATCCAGTATATGCTTTACTATTACCTCCTCCTCTTGCTTGGTAAGCTTCTTTGAGTTGGGCTGGCAATCGCGTCTAGCAGGTTTGCCAGCGCGTCGGCGGTGGAGGGTAGCGCGAGAGACTTTAAACGTTACTGCAGCGCGCCTTTCAGTCTGAATTTGATTCGCATTAAGAGCTAAGATTGCAAGGTGTATATCAGTCTCACAAGAAGCGTGTTGGGCTATGTTTGGTGGAGCCATAGTCGATTTATAGTTGTAGGGTATAGAAATTTGGTGGGGTGGCTCACTCGCTTCGATGGCTCACTCGCTTAGTATTTACGTTATACAACTTAGGCGTTGTGTAGTTATCCTTGCCTAGTTTGCGCAAGACAACTGTGATTAACTTACAGAAGTAAGCTAGACAGTATCCTAAGCAAAGGCTCTAGTTAAAGATCTGCGTTAGGTAGGCTGTGAGCTGATCAGCTCCTGCTTAGAGCGCTTTATTGATGATGCTGTCCAGGCTAGGTGCTTTAAGCAGGGAGGCTGCACAAATAGCATCCTTAACTTCCTTTTCTACTATTAGTAGTGTTTCTACTTAGTTATTACATCCTGCGTTCTAGATATCGCGCAGGTCTGCTTTAGGTGGCGTTAGAAAGAATGTGTCTTAAAACAGGTCCGCCTTTTCTGCTGGATCTGTGATCTCCTGTCGTGTATCTAGGTGTCGTATGGCAGGCGTGACCGCCAGGGGTCGGTCTCCCCTTGTCTTTGCCCAACTGGCGAGCTTCCACAGCGCTTGCGGCGACTGAGCCGCCTGCTCTATTCGGTCTCTGTGAGCTGTTCTTAATGCTTTTCTTATTGTCCTGGCTTTATGGTTTCTTGCTGTACAATATGTTGTCCATGAGTCCGCTGTTTAGAGCTGACTGTGTACTCTCTTGAGACGTTTTGCGTCAGCGAGCACCGCTCTGCAATCATCAGTCCATCCTTCTCTGATCTTGTCCAATAAGCGCGTTGATAGCACTGCTTCCTTAACTGCCTGTTTGATGGCTGCCAGCAACTCTTCTACATATCTGTCAAGTGTGGTCTTGTTAGTTGGTCTACGTAGTGGTGGTAGGGCTCGCTTAAGCGCGCTCTGGTATGCTTTCTTATCAAGTCTGCGCCAGTTTCTTCTTAGTACTGTTTCTAGTTGCTGCACAGACATGTCTAGCATGGTAGTGATTGGCAGATAGTTAGAATTATAATTAAGATCTAGGTTAACTTAGCTTTTAATTAGCCTATTAACAAGACCTACAGTCACAAGGCAAAGGTTAATAGTAGAGCGCACTAATTTTTCTTTATATGTGATAGTGCCTAGTGGCAGCGTGTTGCTAAGGTTAAAGTCCTCTATAATTGCAATAAGCGTCTCTAAACCTAGGTCTATGTGCCTAATTCCTAGGCCTCCCTATATTAGATGGTGTAGGTTAAAGTCGCCCAGGAGCACTTGTTTATCTGCTTAGTATCTGTCTAGAATTAGACGTATGTTAGTAATTGCAGTCTCTTCACTAGTGCTGGCTCCTCCCTAGTTGTAAATATTGTGTATTAGAAGCTGTTGTCTATCTTGTTGTTCTTTGCTAGGCTTAATTACAAGAGAGCAGATGTCTCTACTGCGCTCGTTAAACTGCTATTGCTTGTGGTCTATTTTCTTGTTAATAAAGAAACACACCCTAGCAGGCCCCTTTTTATCTCCTGTTAGGCAGCATAGGTGGAAGACGTCTTTTGCTAGGTGGTGGGTTGTGGCCGTAAAGAGGTTCTTCCAAGGTTCCTAGATGGCCAAGATGTTGTACTCGCAGACTCGTAGGTCTCTTAGTAGGGTTGCCATAACTATGTCTCTTAACTTGCATACGTTGTACTGTAGTATGCTTAATGTGTTGTGTCTATTCATGCTTCGCTGTTGGAGTTGATTTCTATGTGGTGGTTGCTACCACCCTGTGTGGGCTGTGTAATGTGACTGATCGCTTCAAGCGCTCTACAGGTGAGCGTTATGTTTCTCTGCGGTCGTTGGCTGCCGCCGCTTTGCGTAGTTTGTGATGGCATATTCTCCTGCTCTGTTATGTAGTAGTCTGGCCAAAGGCCAATAAAGGATATCTACTTCCTAACCACTTTTGCTAAAAAGCATGCACAAGTTAACTAGACGTCTAGTTAACTGCGTAGATAATATATATCCAGCTTAGGCCAAGCCGGCTAAGCTAATGTAACCGGCTAGCTCTAGCTCTTCTTTAGCTTTAGAGTCTAGACCGTTACATGTTAGGTCAACAGCGTTACCTGTGTTAGTCCTCTTGCGTCCTCGCTGGGTCTGCGATTAGTCTCTAGCGATTAGTATCAGTTGTGTTGATGTGACTGCTAGGTTCGTCCTGTTCCTCTAAGCCATGGCAGCTGATGTATCCTGCGCGACATTCCTTCCTAGTGTCTCCACAACAGGGTGGTAGTAGGGTTGCATATTGTATGCGGCCTTTGCTTTCGCCTTCTCTTCCTTCCTAGTTAGGCACTAGTAACTCCACAACTTGTGCTCACCTTGGCAGGTGGCATATTTCCTAGTAGCAGTCTAATCCAGCTTCAACAGACAGTCTTGGCTCTTGTGTTCTTGCGCACAGTAGCCACATGCAGTTGTTGCCTTGCACTAGGTTCCTATATGGCCGTAGTGTTAGCACTTAAAGCACTGCTTCACTTAGCACTGTTGTTTGTATCTCGACCTCGCCCTGCCAGATCAAACCCTCGTGAATAATCTTGTTGGCATCCTCTGGCTTGCTGAACTCTATAATGACGCTAGAGGCGGCTTTCGTGTGCGCGTTGCGGGTCAGCCATCTAATATATTTAATCTCTGCCTGCGGGATGAACAGTTTATTGTCTAGTAGTATCTAGTCCTTTGTATCCTCAAACCTAGCCATGTCCATTATGCTAGTGCGTATGCTGTGTACAAGGACTCTGTATGTGGTGATTTGTATTATGGCCCTGTTGCTGATGTGGTGGACCTAGTTGTCAGCAAACTGCTTTAGTGCTTCTACCTCCTTGCTTGTAGCTGTCTTAATGCTAAGATTGCTGCTCTTTAGCTGGTTTAAAGAGAGTACCTTAATGCGTGCTATGTTGTTGTTTCCACTCTGCGCAATGGCGCGCTCAACGTGGGCGTTGAGGTTGCGCAGGTTCATCGCCTGTAGGCTCTGTACTGTATTAGGGTCTCTAATAGTCACAATAACTTCACGTTGTGTCTGCACTGACGGCATTCTAGGAACTTGTGTATTAGGTCTACCTGCTAGTGTCGCTCCCCTAGCTGCCATCGCAGCATAGCTGACCGCGCCACCTGTCTAGATTCCTGTGCTTTTAATCTGCCTCATCATCTCCAGGTTGGCTTTACCTACCTCTACCGCCTCCTTAGCGGCTGCCCTTGATTGATTGATTGATTGATTGATTGATTGATTGATTGATTAGTTTAATGTCCTGTGTGAGTCTAAGACTATATAGGACGAGAGCAGTGAGGCTGCTCTAGTAATTTACAAGTTTTTTCTGTGTAAGCGAATAGTATATATAGGTTTGTAGACATATAGTGAGAGCCTGTGCTCTAGTTATAAACAAAGGAAATTAGTTGTCTGTTGTTTGCTATAGGTACTACTTGCGTGTGCCTACTCTAGTTTCTTAAATAAAAGCTAGTGTAGCTTAGATTCCCCTGTTTGTGTCTAGGAGAAGAGACATTGTAAGTCTTGTCTCCTGTAGGCTGCTCTTTATTTTCTTTCTTGCTTCTCTGTAGTTTCTACAGCTAAGCAGTAGGTGTTAAGGTGTTTCTGTATATCTACAGCTGCATTTAGAGCTTCTGTTTTTTATATATTGTATAGATATACTTTATTGTATCTATGTACAAGCTTTAGCTAGTAGTATGCGCTTGCAATTTCTCTTCTAGTGTTTTTTAGCAGTGTTATCTTGCTTATTAGTTTTAGCAAGAATCTTGCTGTATAGGTGCTAGGATTTCTAAGCTTTGCTTTTGTAGAGTAGGCTTAGAGTTTCTGTTGCTACTCTTGTCTTGCAATAGCTTTAATCCTAATACCTGTTATTGCAAGGCTTGTAGTATTAGATACTAGTTACTGTTTTGTAGCTTGTTTTGCTAAGGCGTCTACTTTTTTGTTTCCTGTAATATCTAGGTGTCCTAGGGTCTAGTGTAGGCTAACTATTGCGCCTTTACTGTGAATTACCTTTGCTGCCTTTGTGCAGCAGATTTGCCAAGCTTGTCTAGGGCTATTAGAAGTGGTCTTTAGTCTTAGAATAGCTGCCTAGTTGTCTGCAAAGACTTTAATCTCTTGTCCTGCTATAGCTATAGGAGCTGTAAACTTAAAGGCTCTTGTTATGCCTTCTAGCTCTCTATTATATACAATCTAGCCTTTGCTAATATTGTATTTAGTAGAGTAGATTTCTTTAGCCTGCTGTTTATAGTCTAGAGCAGTAACTCCTATTCCTATTCCTGTGCCTTTCTTAATAGAGGAGGCGTCTGTATAGATAGCAAGTAGGTTGTCTCCTAGTCTCTGTAGCATTTGCTTTTTGTGTTGCTCTACTTCTTCTTCTTTAGAGAGTTTAGAGATCT